AGCTCAGGGCGTGGAGGTAGCCAGCCAAGTTTGGTGGACTGAGTCCAGCAGCAGGTCTTCAGCCACGTGGCGTCAACGGGACCTCGATACCACGACTCCATGATCCCTGCTGCACAGACTCTGACTCCACGTGGCATCAAACCTGGTGCTAGATGGCACATTGCACTAAAACACGTTCATATCTGCACAGCAGGAGTAAAAGGCCGATTCATGCTTTTGCATCGAGGCTACGCCGTAGGTGTGCACGTAGGTGTGCACGTAGGTGTGCACGTAGTCTACGCACATGGCCTTCATAGTTGTGCGAAGGTGAATGTGAGTCACGAGCAAGTCTGATCCACTTACAACGTCTCTGCTGACTTCAGAACGCTGGTTGTGTTTCTAAGTGCATGTTGTCGCAGCTGATGGATGTGGAAGAGAAATGAAAGAACTGCAACAAAGAGAAGAAAGATGTCGTCCGTGTTCGTTCCTTCAACTCAATTTAAAAACGGCAGCGAGTCTGCGACCGAGCGGACCAATCACAGCTCTTACGTTCTGCGTCGCCTTGACTCGTGGTCACATTTTTGAGGTTGTGTACGTTAGGGTACGGCGTAAAGTGCATTTCTACACTAGCGGCTACTGCGCAGCTTGGAAGCAGGGGGCTCGTTGTCCATCTTTATTTCCAGCACATAGTCAGGACCAACAGTGTTCACTCGTTCTATGTGTTTACAGCAGCAGGACACACGAGAGCGAGCTGAATGAAAGCCAGGTCCACCCTGTTCCCTCCCAAAGATGAAGACGTAAAACCTGCGGTGAGTCGAGCTGTGAGACGTCTCACTGGTTTTTCCTCAGTAAACAACGAGACAAAAGACGCCACAGTGTGAAGACAGCTCTTCTCCTCCAGCGCTCGCTGCACGATGGCTATCAGCCGTCCACAGATGTTTATCTGCTCTGTGATTCCTGAGTGAACACCACAGCTTCCTTTCACAGCGCCGCTCTGAAAACACACCAGGGCTTTGAACGTCTGCGCTCGCAGCGACAGGCCGGGAACATTTTGTTCATGGGGGGGGGGTGGGGGGGGGGCACTGATGTCTCTGCTTTCAAAGTGATGGGAACATCCACCGCCTCCAGGGAAACACCCTCACCTCACAAAGACCACACACATACTGTACATGCATGGTCGGCTGCAGGATGCACGCACACACACACACACACACACACACACACAGTTTCCATTAGCTTCAGATCGTACAGGCCTCCGAAGAAACAACTGAGTAAGGGCTCTATTGTTTTGATTGTCGTGTGTGTGTGTGTGTGTGTGTGTGTGTGTGTGTCTGCCTCTGGCACAGATTACGTTCCACAGACCACAACAACGACCTGATTGGCCGTCGTGTCCCCGTCACCCGAGGCCGTGATTAACCGTGTGATCCAGGCAGATTGAGTTTCAGGCCGAACACCTGGACTCTGTCTCCAGATGTTTGAACAGACACGTCTGCCTCTCGTCTTCTGTTCTCTACTTTAAACATGATGAGAAATTATAAAACATATAAATCACGAGTGTGTTGGTGGTAGTTAGTTGATTCCATTTAGAGGATGAAACACAATTCAGCTCTTTCTTTAACGATAAATGAATCTAACTTTATTTGAAGGTTTGTTAATTCCCACGAGGACCTGGAGGAGATTCCCTGTAGCTTCATTCACTCTGACTCACTAACACCTATTTTCTTTATATAGGTGCCAGTGTTATTAATACAAAGACCCTGTAGTTGCAGAGATGTATAAAATATTAATTAGAGAAAAGGGCCCAGATATTTTATTTTTACAATATATATTTTATCGTCTTTCTTTGTATTTTCTTATTTATTATGTCTTGTTTGAACATTTTATTCCTTTATTAGATTTGTTTACTTTCTGAACGTATTCATTCTTTTTTAGCATCTTGTCGATGAAGCACTTTAAACTGCAGTTGATCTGTTTGAAAGGTGCAACATAGAGAAAGTTTGACGCTGAAGCTCAGTTCACACGTTCGAAGCATCACCACCGATTCAGATTAAACTCAGTCACCTCCACCGCACGCTGCCGCTCGGCCGCTCTCACTCTGAAGAGTAAACACCGTGAGGAGGAGAGTTCAGAAACTTCTGCTCGTTGTGTCTCAGTGTTTTTCAGGAACTTCAGCTCTTTCTGCCTCATCATCACTTTCACTGACAAACTCTTTGTGTGTGTGTTTCCTTCACTGGAGACTGAAAGTGCCTCCGTCAGCTCAGCGACTTGTTTCCCGGTCAAAGGCTCAAAGAAGCAGAAGCAGAGTGACGCAACAACAGGAAGGAGGATGCTGAGCTCTTTAGAACCGTGTAGCAACACACTGGACTTACTTGGAATCAGAGAAAAAAAAAAAAGTTCAAACGATTCTTCAGAAGAGACAAAAGTGGAAAATGGGAAGCAGACAAAATATTTTTTATAAGATACGTTTAAAAAATAGTTTGAGGCCTGAAGAGTCTCCGTGTGATCACCAGGATCAAGAACAGAGTGATTCAGACGAACTTGGTCCTGAACTCGGGGTAAAGACCCAACGAACGAGAAGCAAGAGGCTGAAATGAGTGAAATTTACTTTCACGTGTTCGCTGTCTGGTCTCAGACCTGGAGAGCAGGTCGGAGGACACGCTCCTTCACATGCAGAGATCTTATCCAGACTCGAGAGGAGAACAAAACAGGAGGAGGAATTCACATCTGATCACGGTCCTGCAGGAGGAGCTGGAGAGAGAGACGCACCTGACATTTAGGTTAAACTGAGACAAAGAGTCCTGAAGACTCCGCCTGTTCTTAAATCGTCAAATAAAACCAACCGGATCAGAAACATCTTGAACATCAGGGTGATGAGACGTCATCGTCTCGTGGACACGTGACAAACGGTGAAGTGAGTCTTTAACAGCGTCCTGCAGAGAGTTTAAAGTTCAGAGGAGGACAGAACTCCGATACATTAACTCTGCTGACATTTGTGCATCGTAATTCAGGAACGCTTATGTACCGTGGACAAAGTTCATATTTGCCTCACTATCTTCAAACACACAC